ACTAAAGAATTTTGACAAAAACGTTTTATAAAATAATTTTTCAAAATTGTGTTCAAAATTAGTGCACGTAGAGAACATTTTTACAAATTTTCCTTAATAAAACTTTCTGTCAAAATGTAAAGTTGTCCTGTCATTTTTGGTCAAAAACGAAAAAATATTGACAAGAAAGTTTTGTAAAATTATTTTTTAAAACTGTATCTTTGCCTGCATGTTTCTCATAAAATTAGTGCATGTAGAGAACATTTTTACAAATTTTGTTTTATAGGATTTTCTGTCAAAATGAACTTTTTGGATCATTTCCGATCAAAAATTAAAAGGAAATTCCTGCATATTTGTCATAAAATTAGGGCATTTAGAGAACATTTTTAGAAATATTTTTGTATATAAGTTTTCTGTCAAATTATGAATTTTTCATGTCATTTTTGTTCAAAAACTAAAAAAGTTATGTTTTCCTAAATTTTATTTAAAAAAATCTTCAAAATCAGTATTTTTAGTATCATTTTTTGGTCAAATGCTAAAAAATATTTCTCATCAAAATAAAGTGTTTTGTGAAAATAAAAATTTAAAAACAATTTATAATCAAGTTAGGGCATTTTAGAAAATATCAAAATCTGAACTTTTACTGTCTTTTTTTGCTAATCAATTGACAAAAAAATTGTAAAATTATTTTTCAATTTTATTTTTTGCTGCATGTTTCTCATCAAATTTATACAATTTTTTTTTAGAAAAAATACATAGATAGAGATAGCGCTTTATTAATCCTTTGGGAGTTCCCTTCAGGATATTTAGGATCCAGCAGTAGTACAGCACAAAACAAACAGTAAAAACACACAGATAGTTAAAATACAATAAAATAAAGTACAATAAAAAAACAAACAAGAGTAGCAGCACACTGTCAATGAATATTGGAAACCTGAACAGCGGATATCAGTAGATTAGAGTCGTAGGTTAGTAGAAGTAGATAGTGTTAGTAGATCAGTAGGTGATTATTGTTCCCATGCACAGTGTTGTTGATTGCAATCTCAATTATTATTTACTATTATATTTCAATTATACCATTGTTAACCATTGTTAACAATTACTACACATTACTAATTTAAGCAGAACTAGTATAATTATAAGGATGTTATATGAACAGGTTTATAAATAGTTTAAATACATGCATGCAAGTTACATACACATGTACATATACCCACATCCACATATATGCACTATACATACACATATGTACGCAGACACACACACACATATATATACCTACACACATGTACAGACATACACTGCATTGCGTGAGCATATATGTACACATATACATAAACATATACTTATCATAGAAATTACGCCAAGGTTTAATGCCAATATGTGCCATCTAACTTTTGTGTGGTAGCGTTTGTTTGTTGCTCTTCATCCAACACTCTTACAAAGATATCATCCACACCCTGTATGGATCCACATCCATACTTGCAGGGTTAGTTAAGTTTTAGCTTTTGACATGTTGCTTTACTTATTCTGCTTATTTAAATAACACTTTACACTTTAACACTTTAGGGGTTTTTTTCAATCACTTTTTGTTGTTCTTTTTTTTATTATTGCTAATTGCAATAATATTTCTAACAATTAGCTGAAATTATACATGTTAAAATGCAGAGTACCATTTGCTTCTGGAATAAGTTGTATATTAGCACTAAGTGCCTATTAACAGATGTGCACAACAGCCCATGTGTTTAACTACGCTTGTTAACCAAAATGCCAAATCACCTCAGTCACGCACACAGACATGCACACTGCACGCACACACAACCTCTGACTCTGGTTCATGAGCAATTAAAACAGCACAGCTCTGTTGCATTGCATTTTAGACAAGAAACATAAGATTTCTCTTTTATGTTTTTGTAAGTAAAGACACAACATTGCGTGTCATTGTTTTAGGCTGTGGGCCTCAGTGGGGTACCGTAGAGCTGTATACAGCACTCAAACAACACCATTGATGCCATATAAACCCATATGCTGTTGGTAACTTTAGGATGTGGTTCTATATATTTGAGTAAGTACTTCTTTTGGGGGCAACATTGTGTAAGAGTGGTTAGTGCTCTTGCCTTAACTGAAAGCGTTGGTTGGAGCCCTGGTGGTCTCTGATGGTCTTTTAGTATGTAGTTTGCATGTTTCCACCAGGTGGGAATGGGTTCCCTTCTCCAGTTTCTCCTGCCCGGGTACTTTTTTGTGCTGAATTTTGGACAAATATTTTAAAATACAGTTAAAATATATTTTATATACTTAAGGCAAAAATTACTAACAAAATTGGCAAAAGATAACTTAATACATATCAATTTAGTGACTGTTAGTGGTTAGCATATTTTAATCAGAAATATACATACGTCACATACTGTAGGGTTGACAATATGGATTTAAGACACTGAAGAAACTTTTCTTCTTCTGCTAACTAGTCACTGACAAAATGCTGTATGCCAACAAAAGACATTCCTTCCATCCAGCTCACTTTCAAGCAATGTTTTGATATTCAGATGTAATGTAATCATAATCTTTCCTCAGCACTGACAAGATCCTAAAATATCTTGTCAGTAGTTAACTGGAAATATGGTCATCTAAACAGGCTACATGAGAAAATATTCTGAACATGCGTTTTGTTATTAGTATGTCTTATTGTTCTGTTGAAAATCCTACATGATCTTGTTAATATCACAAGTTATGAATCACAAACCTGTTAGGCTGCACAGTCCCTGTCTGGAAAACTTTGTTGCCATACCAGGTGTGACGACAGCCACTATAGAGAAAACACCTGAGGGTGGAGTTGACAGACAGGTATGATGGCAGCTTAGAAGGCTTAGTAAAGGGTCAGACGCTCCTCTGATCTTCGTCTGTGACTGAGGAGTGACGTTATTCCAAAACTGCCACAGAGATGTCACAGTGCCTTATGTACCAAAAGAGTTCCTCAGAGGTTTTTTTGGAGGTCTGGGGTTTGAGTTGAGGCTGTGTCCTGCTCAATGTTTCATGATTGTATTCTATTGGGATATTAAAGCCCAACATTCTCCCATAAATCTAACCTCCCCCCTCTCTTTTTCTGTCATTCTCCTGGCAGTACTCCCATTTTAAGCTGTTCATGTTGACCAGAAGAGGGGGGTGTGTTACGGTAAACTGGGGGCCTTCTGGTCTGACAGGCCAGTAAATTGATAGCAGAACCAGTAGAGCTGAGTCAACAGCCTGAGTGCAGCGGGAAGAGGGAGGAAGAAAGGGAGGGTTTCCAGATGAAAGTTGGTGGTAGAACCTTGTGCTACTCCCCTGTGCTGCTCGGAAAGAGCAAGGAAATCCTGGTAGCTGTCATTTTTACTGGAAGATGTCATTACGACCTCTGGGCTGCTGCTGCTGCTGCTGCTGCCTGTGTGTTTGCCTCAGAGAGAAAAGAGGGAAGCAGCATTAAACGTACACGACTTACAACACACCAAAACGTAACTGCTTCCAGTGTGTGAGAGAAGACACTGGTGTAATAATGTCATGGATACACGACAGTGGTTTTTCTGTGTTACATTTAAACAAATGCAATAAATACCAATATGTCCATAAATATACAAATAAGCTAAAGAAATAACCACAAGATGGGCCAGATATGTTTGAAGAAGTCCAAAGTCAACCTGAAAGACAAAGACAAAATACCACAAGTTGTTAAGTTCCCTGAACATTAGGTACAGCATTAGCTAGATTGGAACCAATAAAGAGTTGAAAGATGAAATTATCTAAAAGGGAAAGTGAAAGGAGAGTGAGCTCCTTGTCACTGTGACACACACCACCGCACACAACGAAATTTGACCTCTGCATTTGACCCATCACCACAGTGAACAGTGGGCAGCTTTGAGCACCCGGGGAGCAGTGTGTGGGGACGGTGCCATGCTCAGAGCACCTCAGTGGTACCTTGGCAGCTGGTGGACTCGAACCTGAAACTTTCCGGACAACTGTCTGCTTCTAAGCCAATAAGCAACCACTTCCCCAATAAAATACCATTGATGGGTTACCCTAATCCTGTTATAAGTTATAACTAAGATACAATAAAATATCTTTTATATCTTTTGGAATTTAGTGAATCCATAGTGTAGCTATTAGCACGCCTGTCTCAAACCACATATTAAACACCCCTGGGATATAAATGCACAATTCACATCACAGGACAAAGACATCAGGAAAGATAGTATGGGTAAAGCATGTGGTGTTTAGGAAGGAAAAGGGTGGAGGTGAAAACAAGTGAAAACATGAAGTGAGTCACTCTGGTTTGTGTGCACAGACAATAAAACGGCCATCTCTCTCTGTCTCTCTGTCACTCCACCTTTGTCCTTCTCCTTCCACTTTTTTACCCCTGATTTCACATTCACATTCCTTCCCAACACTATTTTCCACTCAGCCCCCTCCAATCCTGCTCCTGGACTAGCTTTCTCTCTCTTTCCTCTCTGTGTACTATAATGTTAGCTCATCTCCTCAGCACAGCAGACCGGTTTGCTCAGTTTTACCACAGGACTCCAGTGCAAAGACTTGGCAGAGACACAAAGGCTGTTTTCTTTACTGTGGGGCTGCAAAGAAACTGAAGGAGGGTATTGTTGGGCCACAGCGAGCTTCTGCATGACATCAGCATACATATGAAAACTCTCGTGTGTGTGCAAAATGTGTAAGCATACATTTACTGTATATTGTAAGTAAAATAAAATGACAGGCTGTGTTTTTTTTATTCATGCAAAGTGCTTTAAAAATTCCACAGTCTTGCACCATACAAGCAAACAATAGAAACAATAAAAGGTTGAACTGCACAGTCTTGCACCATACAAGCAAACAACAGAAACAATAAAAGGTTGAACTGAACTGGGTCAATAGAAACAATAAAAGGTTGAACTGATCAGGCCTGTATATGGCGACTGGTACTGGTCAGAATTTATCACAGGCTTTCACTTCCTCATGGGAATAAATGTTTGTAAGCTAATGAATGACAGGTTGAAGTGTGAGTAAAACAGCCTTTTCTGATGTGGTTATATATTTGAATGAGTCTGATGGTGAGTTGCCTCAACATGCATGGAAAAACCAACACAAGAGGGATTTATTTCATCTCCAGAGAGATTTCACTCTGCTTTCTGAGTGAATATACACTGAAACTGTTTTTTTCGAGGATTTCTGTCCATGACACTGTACCACTGTGGTCACACACAGTTTAAGACATGGACTAAATATGAACTAATTGTCAAAGATAAAGCAGGTTTTGTGGTTAAACCAAAACAGAGCAGCTGTGCTTTCCTCTACAAACCACCCAACAGCACTTCACGGTGTGTGTTGTATCATCACCACTCTTCCCCTGAGGCGTGGCTGAGTTCAGTTGATACACCTCTGCTCTCAGAGCTGACAGGGTTCACAATGCCAGGCATGCAGGAGTTATGTTCTCTACACAACTCCTGTGTTTTTTTGTTTCCTCTCACCTCTCTCTGCTTTCGCTTTGTCAGTGGATTTCAGAGGCATATCAGTGGGGGAGGGGCTTAGAAGAAATCCTTTCCTGAATGAAAAATTCCTTCCCATGCAATGACAAAGAAGCAGGGGCTTTAGGGCCTCTGCCAACAGAAAGAAGGTGCATCTCCCAGATTTACCGCTGATTCACTTTTTCAGAGGAATTACATTTGATTCATAATGATGTGCATGTGCAAAAGTCTAACTTTGACATCAGAGACTGAGGGTTTTCATGCCTTAAAAGCACTTCTAAACCTACTGAGTCTGATGCAAAACAGATTTTTTTTTTTGCCCTCACAAAACATTACCACTTCATCCATTGAAAATCCTTGCTCTCTCCCCCGTCCCCTCTCTCTCTCTCTTGTCTGAATGAGGTTTCTTGCTTATCCATGGTGACCACCCTGCAGATGCTCTGGTGTCTGAATTGAAATGAGAGAGAAAGAAGAATGAGAGAGAAAGACAAACCAACACACATTTGCCTGGACTTCACACTGAGTGCATTTAATTCAAATCAATATACCTTTAGTCATGAGCCACAGCCAAAATAATGGACAAGGAGGATAAAATTAGAACATTGTGTGACTAAAACATTCAACAAGCCTGGGGTATTATTTTGGAGTGTATAAATAGCGTATATTTTTAAGAGCTCTAACTCAAATTCTGAACCTAATTTCAAATCCTAACTCCAAACTAATCAACACCCTCTCGCTCAGCAACAGCCTGCAAAATGTCCCCACTAGTAGCTATAACAGAACCCGCGCGAACACACCGACATGCACACAAACATTCCCACGTGACTCGCTCCCTCCCTCCCGCCCTCTCTCTCAGATTTACCTCCACTCGCTCACATTCAGTGGAGTCTGGGATCGGTTAGGACTTTCGTTTAGTTCCAGCGAACTTCTCACAGCGGGGACATTTCCCTCCACACGGTGAAGTATCGGAGGGACAGACCGGAGCTTCACTTCTTTACTTTATTGTCCTCTTACAAATACAGGATTAAGCAGTTCCTCTTTCTTCAGATGGGATTTAATCGTGCTGCTCAGACTTTGATTCTTCACTGACTCTCCTGTCTGGACTCTATATAGTTTTTTTTTAAATTTTCAAACATGCAGGAGAGAATCAGTATTTCAGACTTCGTGGTCCTGACCAACGAGGACCTGTCTTCACCGGGGACATCGAGTTTCCAGTCGAAGATGAGCGACTGTCGGAACACGGTGTCTGCCGTGGAGGAGGTGAGGAGTCTGCGTAGTTTCTGTTGTTTACCGGTGTTTGTGCGCAGTTGACCTCATATTTACACGTGTCAGACTGAACTAAAGTTTCACATGCACACAGACACAGACTCATACGTACGCACACACACACTTACTGACTACTGCAGGAGGTTCAACACCTCACTACTGTAAAAGACGTGATGTTTCCGCGTACTGAGAGGAAGACTTTTCTTTGTACAACACTCATAGTTTCCAGGTGAGGTAAACGTGCATTCACACCTTACGTTGGACGGGGCCAACAAAACAGTAATTAAACAGTAAGAACTCGGAATGATCTGTGGTTACAGGTCTATTATCAGGTCGACTTGTGCAAAAATGTCTAGGTCATTAGGGTAGGTTTGTGGTGGTCGTATGTAGGTGCACTGTGGATGTTTTTGACCTTTTATGACATACAAATTAAAATACAATGGGGAATTCTTCTTAAAAAACAGCAACTTAGCAAAAACGATTATCCAAAAGCATTAACCTCCCCAGATTGAAATTCATAAAGGATATTTTAAAGGTTCCCCTAAGTTAGTAAAAGGTTAACTAAGAAGAACAAAGTGATACAATAATTTGCTTAGCAACAGCAAATATTAGGTTACAACTGTAACAAATTAGTAATGCATTAGTGGGTTAATGAAAACATATTAATATAACAAACAGTTAGCCAAAGAATACTTTGGTTTGCCAAAAATGCAGCTTAGGGTTAGTCTACAAAATGCTCAGCATTTGCTAATGAACTCAGAGATAGTTAGTGGAAGAAATGATCTAAAACTAAAAACAAAATCCTAAAAAAGAGCTAAAAGTTTGATGTAGCCAAAAGGCTCAAAGTATTACAAAGTTAAACATTAGCTCAAAGCTAAAAAGGATACAACACACATGGAAAGTCTAAAGTCAGTGTTTAGCAAAACACCTAAACTTAATGAGGTCACAGATGATGTCACAGTATTGCCATAGTTCTCCATCAAGTAGAGATGGAACACACTTGGAAAGTAAATATGGAACATGATGTCTCTTTTGCAGAACATATTTTTGTGCAAACAAATATTTAATATTGCTGGTTCTCGCTGAGTCTTACTTTCCTTTTCCATCCATATGAAGAGTTACCTTGGCTCATTGTTTTTTCTGAGGTCTCTCTCTCTCTCTCTCTGTGTGTGTGTGTGTGTGTGTGTCATTGTTTGTTTGAAATCTCCTCTATTCTGCTGTAAAAGATGGGAAAACCCATGGGAGGCAGCCATGAACTCTGCCACAACACAAACAATCATTCTGTTTACACAACTCCATTCTTCCATGTGTTCCCTCTGTGACAAAATATCATCATATACTGTTGTGGTATTGAGTTATACCACAACAGTATTCAATGATTTTGTAGTAGGGATTTGTGTTCATAGACAGAGCTCACAATGGGTTTAACTTACAACTACAAGTTTTACAACTTAAAGTTAGATTGCACCATGTTATGACAATTTAAACAGTCCCGTCAGCAGTCAGCACTCAGTATTTACTGGTAATGAATGACGAAATGCAGTGTGTACATTCACACCTGAAAGCCTCTGGGAGATGACAACACTTCATTTTACTTTCCTGGCCCCAAACTGTGACAAGTGAATAGAGATGGAGACAGAGTCCTGGGTTTAAACAGCTGTCTGATGTATTTATCTTGGACTAATGTCCTTTTTTATGGCCATGACATACTGGAACAAACATGGCTGGAATAGCAGCAGTGGGGGAGGAGGGGCTGGGGGGTCACACTTGAGTCTTGCACATGTACAGACAGACAGACCATTAGAGAGTCAGACAGACTCACAGAAGTGCAATAGTCTCTTTATAGACGAATCTGTAATGTTTAGTCAGCTCAGCAGGGAGAAGCTTGATTAATGGATAGGGCTAATGTGTGGGGCTGTGTGTGGTTTATGGGAGCAGGCAGGGAGATAGAGACACCATTTACCCACACATACACTCAGCTGATTGTTAGTTATTATGTCTGATTAGAGACAACCATAAACTGTAAAGGCAGGGATAAGGAACTGTTTCATTTCCAAGCTACAGTGAACATAATCGCAGTCATTTTATGCACAGAGCCGAGGGTTTCCTCTTAACGGAAGATTAGAAGAAGATGAGATAAAGTACAAAAACACCTAAGATCCCTCCTGCCGTTATACTTATGACTATAATTATGTGGCATAGCTATTATGCCATTTCATGGAATTAAGTCATGTTTGAACATGTTTCTATACATTGGCTCAGTTGTTCTTATCATGTTGTTGAAGTGTTTGCTTATTATACTGAAAATACATAAATGCACACAGCATTGCAAGCCTGGGTGTCTAGCCTGAAATTCACAGAAGAGAAGTTAGAGAAACATTTTGTGAAACTAGCTTAGAGTTAGCAAAAGTATGCATACTAGGACTAGATGTTAGTATCTCCGATAATCGATACCCAGTACATACCTCTACACCAGTTTTCTGATAATCATTACACAAATAGGGGAATTAGGGTTGTCCTCTTGGGGTGGTGTTCCGGCGGTGTTATGCTTCCGGGTCGATTGTGTTTGAAAAAATACAACAGTAAATAGTTAATATTGGCCAAATAGTGCCCAAAGATTCACAGTACCCTAAAGATATATTAAAAAATATTAATGTCAAACAAAACATGACAGTTTTTTCACATAAGAATCCTACATAATTTTACCTCACAATGAGCTGAAACACACTTTATAATCAAGAAATCAAATAGCTAAGCCAGCATGAGTAGTTAAAAGCTATAGTATAACTGACATTTAGGTAGCTGAAAGTTAGAAAGATAAGTAAAAAGAAAAATGTGCGAAAGAATGATCAAATTTGGCCAAAGTATTTAAGGATTGGCCAGCTGAAAAAAAGCCAAAAATATCTACAAATTGGGTCAGCCAGTACAGCTCTGAAACAGCCAACAGGAACTACATGTTAAGTAAAATTAGATAAATGTTAACTAAAAAGTAATAGATTCATGGTTAGGACACTAAAATTGAATATTGCTGCATCCCCAACAGCAAAGTGTGTCATCATGCCAAGTTAATGAGGTAAAGGAGGATCAGGTATCTGTTAGTCATGAAATGTTATGCTCTGCTGCCTGCAGTCACACACACACACACACACACACACAAATAGACACCCTCACATACACACGCACTAACACACACCCTGACAGCAGGTGTACAGTATGTCACACTGTTTCCAGCAACAAAAAGACAACACAGACACCACACCGTTTGAACTGCCAATCCAAATCCTCTCTTTAAGGTAAATATGTGAGTTGTTAGAATTTTGCCTTTTTTAGTTGAAAATAAGCTTGCGTGTAAGCAAACTGTGATGTTTTCCCCCCTTTTATACCGAATTGAACAAATGTAAGCAGTTCTATTGACCTGCACCAGCTTGATTCGTATATTTTTCCAAACAGAGGAAACTACAACTTCATCAAGCAACACCCAGGGAATCTCCAGTCACCACCAAATCATTTTCCTCTATTCACTGTCTGAAATGCTATACTACACAACAGCCACACCGCCTTTTAATTAGTAAACGAACACTTAGGGAGTGGACTGAACCAGGAACGACTACGAAGTGTAAACAGCCTAACAAGGCAGGGTGTCTGTTAAGTCTAGATTACTGCCTCATTAAAGCTATTTCTGGGGACACGTAGATGGAGCAAGGCATGTCTGTCTGGGTAAAACAAGTGCCTCGTGTAAGGAGAATAAACAGGACTTAGTTTGGTTTGAAGGAGGCTGATTATTTCACTACAATGGAGTCAGTTGACTTAGTGCATTTAGTACACACTGTCATTTGTCACATTAAGTACAACCATTCTGCAGGACAAAATGGTGTCTTTCTTTTAGAAAAATAAGCAGTATGTGTGTGTCCTCTCAAGGTGGTGCTGAACATAGGTGGCCCAACTTTTTTGTGTGTCCCAATACAATGGTAGTAGCTGTAGTGCCGTGATTATAATAACTAGTGTATTTTAACATAGGCTGTATTTTAGGAAAAAAATCATTTTATTCTATTGATAGTTACGTCTGTTCGGCCTTGCATTTAGACAAAGATGGAGTGTTGGGAAGAAGAACTAAAAGTTAGCTTAACCGAACTAATTTACTGTTGTTATTACAAAGAATCTTATTGACTTTGTCCATTTAGTCAACACTATATCATCCGTCACAACTGCTACACCCTTTTGTTTTGCAGAAAAAAAAATCCCTGTCTGATTTTGATCTGAGGTGTGACATTCTCTCAGACAGGTGGAGGAAGTGCAATGACACCATTTCAGGCATTAAATGATGGTGCAAGACTGATGAGTGTTAAGTGCTGAATCACCTGTCTGACTCGACATGAGCCGTGAGAACTTTGTAATATACTAAAACTTACGATACCTTTTTCTTGAAACATTAAGGTAAAAACGAATAGCTTAAGTTAGCAAAAACAGCTCAAATGTGGTCTAAAGTGGTTAATGGTCAAATAGGATAATAAATAGCCAGAAAGCTGAAAGTTAGCACATGCCAAATAAAAGCTAATCAATTGATGAGTTTAGCCCCCACTAAAAACTGTGGTACAGACTATTTAGGAACATTTGGGTTATTCATGTATTAATACTGTATTTAACTGACGCTCCCCTGTCTTCATTGTTATATTTTCAGTCCCTGGAGATGGACCACACAACTCTGCTGAAGATGAAGAAGATTATAAAAGCTATACACACATCTGGACTGTGTAAGTTCTTTACAGTGTTTGTCATGTCTGACTAGTGTTTTTTCTCCCCAAATCTTTTTGCACAATCGTTCTCCATTAGTCGTTGTAAACTGAAAATCAAGTTAAATGTGTTTACTATCCAACTTTGTCCAGAATGTTATGATCATCAGGCAGTTGATAAAGGTTTCAACAGATAGGGAAAAACATAGAAAATTAAACTGGATTTCCCCTGTAATAAAGCATATTTGATTTAAATTACAGTAAAACAATGTGATTGTCATTTGTAAGAAATCTTTTGCATGTGTTCCCTGAACTACATGAGCTATTTATTAAATATACAACATACAACAACATCATAAAGAAGTAATTTAAGTGGAACTTTTTGTTATTAAGACCTAAGACGCTCAACAGTCCTTGATCAATTATTATTCTAGTGTGCAGACTTTTTCTTTTTTAAATGGGGTTTGTATAACACTTCCTAGGTCAGTAATTGAGAGCAGAGAGAATTAGGGTATAGGTCAGCATCTATTATTGCCATTGGATTAATTGTTGAGTGAATAGTGGCCCTCCATAGGACTCACTTTGGAAGTTATTTTAATGACATCATCATGCTCGCGTGGGCTGCCTCCGTTTTATGAGGGAGGCCTCGTGTTACAGGACTGCAGTGTGTAGAATGTAGCTTGATTTTGTTTACATATAACCAAGTGTATGCTTTTGTGGCGGACATGTGTGTGTGTGTGAACATCCTGTTCAGGTTAATGGTATGTGCGGTTTTAGGTCCTCATGTACTGTTGGTCTATGCCGTAACATCTCGACATTGATCTCATACATGCACAAGAAGTGAGTGTTTGCCTCAAAAATGTGCGGAAATAAAGAAAAGAAACTGGAGAACACATCCTGAGGTTGTTTTTCCCGGCTCTTACACTCACAGATCTGCTTCCCATTTTGAGACGTCAACTCATAGCTTTTAGTAAAAGTGAGTCAGAGAGGCAGCTGCCCAGAATGAGGCAACCAGATCCAGTTGCTGCATCTGCAGAGAAGTACTTCGTGATTTGTCTCCATTAATCTTTTCTTTTTTCTCCTCTGAATCTAAGTAGGATCATATGTGATCTGCTGGTACCATGTTCTCTCCTATCATTATGTTGTTGAAACTCTCAATCAGTCTACACTCTCATCTTCATTTACCATACCGCACACCCCTTTCATGGACCTTCTGCTGTGACACACATGCAAAACACACACACATGCTAAGATGTTTTCTTTAGTTCTAATAAACCACAAGTGCTATTTTTCTGCCAAGATCTATGTTCATGAATCTCTGTACGTCTGCTTGTGTGTGCTCTGGCAGAGGACTAAAGAGTCGAGTTGCTCTGCTTATATCTGCTAAAGGTCATTCTCTGAGTCTTTCTGTGACTCAGCTTTTTGCTTTGTTTGTTTTGTAGTCTATCCTAAAAACAAGCACTCAGTGCATCTCTTTATTCCTTCCATAATCAGTCTACAGTGACTGTGTATTCATAGTTTCAATTAAAAAGCTCTACCTGTCTGATCTTTCCAAGTCTGGCTCATTGTTGGGCTGTACCTTTGATGCCTGGTTAGCTTCTTCTATTGGTTGACCTAACCTTTTAACAGCTGAGTTTTTTTATTCCTTCCATAATCAGTCTACAGTTAGGACAACAGTTAGGATATACCAGGTTCCTGTTGCATAATCCCTGCAAATATATTTTGACAATGCTACATGAAAAATGCTCAGTCTAACAATTTGTCTCTGAAGTATATGATAGTAACTTTGAACAACAGTGCAATGCTTCAAAAACTCAACACATTTCTTTTAAATATTACAAATTTTCTTAATCAAATGTGTCAGTGAGTCTTAGCGCTACAGTGACTTTGACTTAGTATTTTTTTTCCAATCAGTCAAACCTAAAGCTGAGGACAAGATAGGTTGTATAACTTTTGCTTTTTACTTTACTTTGTAGTTCAGTCCACTCCTTTTACCTGTATTTTCCTAAAGGTTCCGTAGTGGAACTACAGAACACGTTAATGGTTATATCTCTTAATCAGGTGATCTATCTTTGTTAAGTAAATTACCGGTAGTTGACTTCTACGCCTTACAATGTGATTTGTGATTATTTAATGTCCTCATTTTCATAGGCCTTTGGGATTAAACTGTTTCTACTTCCGTGTAACTCAAAGCCTCTAGGTCAGAGCTTAGATTCTTTTCCATCAACCATTTTCCACATAAATTTAAAAAGACTGGAAGCCTACTCAGGTTGCTATCTTGGGAAAGTGCCCTATAACATTACACCTTGACCTATAAGCCCAGGAGAAACATGTTTCTCTCTATATGTGCCTGTCTCCTGCTCCAGGCTGGGCGGAAACCAGTACTAATTTGTCCCACATGTTTTGTTGTGTAAGAAAAACAGTTTCTTCTACAGAATTTCATTTCATTCTATTTCTACAGCACACGTGGAGAACAAGGAGCATTATATTGAGATGCTGGAGAACCTAGGGAATAGCCACCTGACCCAGGACAACAACGAAGTCTCCACAGGCTTTCTAAATCTGGCTGTGTTCACCAGAGAGGTCACTGCCCTCTTCAAAAGTCTGGTAAGGAAACTGGGACGGGAGTGTGGAAGAAAAGACACATGGAAAGGGTGGGACTGCAATTAGACATCTGAGCCTAAATACCACATCAAAACCTTGTGAGGAAAAGTAAAAAATTGAGGAAAAATTTAAAAGAGGAAAAAGGGCCACGTCTCCAAAACATGCAAATGATGGAAGGATCTGAGAGAACACAAGAGGTGAGGAATGATGCAGCAACAAGTGACGGAATGCCCCCAAACCCCATTGAATATACAGCACGTTTAGGTTGAATGAGCCAAACCTCTGTGTGTGTTAGTAAGCTTACACCATAGTGAATCATTTTTTGTGTGCACATGCATTAGACGTGCATTACCCTAAATTAGGAACTGAAGACTTCTCTTGGTAGGACAAATAATTCCCATTAAAACCCAGTCTTCAGGTGCTCAGAAAGAACCATCATTATTAACAGTTAACCACTTCCTATCTTGGCTATGATGCAGAAAGTAAAGGCAGCTAACTAACATGCTAAATGTTATCATATTTAATAAAAAGGACCAATTACAACCCAAAGGAGCCATATCGATATCAAAATAAAGAAAGAACATTTATAGTGCAAGTTATAGTTAGCTTTGGGCAGAAAAACATAAAGCAGCATAGCATAGTATCTTGTAAGCACTAGAAAATTAAACACCACAAACAAAAAGGATAACATGACAGACATATCACTAACCAACATTGGCATTGACCTTTCAACTGAGCCTCAACTTTAACTCTACTCAATTGTGAATGGAAAAACACTTATTCAGTGTATTCCAGGCACCTGTGTACGTTCATGAATGCATGGAAAAATATGTTTTGCCATCTGTGTGCTCAATAAGCCTCTTGACTGTAAAATATAGGCCAGCCTGGAACAGTTCCACTGATAAAATCTATGCTTCCTATCATAATTCATCCCAGACCTCCTATCTGTTACGGCCCTTCCCCCCTTTTATGACAGTCAGTGCCTCATGGGGAAGGTCAAGTCTTACAGGTGTTAAACTGTCAAGGTCTGAGAGACTAATAAGAGGGTAATTAAAGAAGTTTACTGCAAAATCAACCTGCGCGCCTCCCTCAATGCCACATTTAACTGATTGCACGCTGCTCTCAACATCTGTGTGAATACAGTCATACATGTATAGATTTAACCATCATGTGTTGATTCTGGGAGCTGGTATTTCCCCCTGTCAGAAGACCATGTATTACCTATTACTAACCTCAGCGCATGAATGCCAACTAAAACAACCTGCCTGCTGCTATGTCAATATATTAGGTCATGTACTCAGTATTCAGTTCACGGAAGTAGTTGGATTTATGTGCAGAGAGTTGGTGCAGCTTGGTTTTAATCCACCAGGATTCATTAAGAAAAATCCTCCAGCGACATTTACAAGCAGTCTTCAACAGCAGTCACAAGGAAACATGTGGACAGAAGAGAAAAATGTACAGTACATAGATGTTCTGCTGTGCCAACAAAACATGTGACACATTTTTGTATGGAGGAATTTGTTGTCATACTCTGATGAGATTTTGGTTTTGTTTTCTAACTTATTCATTATAATTGGCAAGATTTCATCTAAATTCTATACAAGTCGACAAAGTAAAGCCAATCAAGTGTATACAAAGCACTTGATTAAAGCCAGTGTGAACTACTCTCACATGGTACAAATCATTGTCTTGTGTTTTCATTTTGATGACTCGCCACGTCAAAGTGACACAATCATCACGTGTTGCTCATTCCCAGAAATCCTGGCTAAAACACTCTTCTGGGAACCGAAGTGCTCTCTCTGTGTGCCTGTTTGCTTCCTGCAGAACCTAAGATCTGACTGTAAATATATTTTGTATTATTCATTCCACCTGTTTCTGTGTTTTTCAGGTTCAAAACCTCAACAACACTATGGCTTTCCCGTTGGAAAATGTATTAAAGTCTGAACTCCGCGACAGCAGACTAGTGAGTCACAAAAATCTTTTACATGATGACAACAATAATAAGCAAAGTGGAACTTAACCCCTAAAATGAATGAATGAAAACTTTAATACTACACATGTTCTTTTTTAGATAGCAAATTCTCTATGTAATTGTGCTGAACTTCTTTAAATTGTGTTTGGCCTGCTGTTCTCTTTGTTTACCTTTCTGGCAGTCACTACATAGCTACATGGGGGCCCCATGACCTGTAAGCTGCTAGTTTGTGAACTCTGTTTTAAATTAAAGAAATTGAACGCACAGCTGCTTTCAATACCCACAAACCCTAGGACAACATGGTAACAATGGAGCAGTGTTTAACACTGCCTGTTTGATACCATATTTAAACAGTGTAAGGAAGGTTTACTAAAACACCACAGCTTAATAAACAAAGTTTGTTTGAAAGAAATGATAAATATAATTCAATGTTTGCCTCAGCCTATTCCTGAGGCCTCACTTCAAACTGGACTTATTCCTCCGTTTTAAATTGTATAATATTAAGCCTCATCATTGTCAAAAAGTACTGATCAGGACTCATTATCAGTTGATACACACTTGCATTAGATGGGATTGGGAGCCAATAAAGCTGACCCTGATTTGGACATTCTTATGTACATGCAGATGTTTTTATAACGAGATAAAAAAAAACAATGACCAAAAGGTGTTAAATATTTTGGGCTTTGAAAAAGCACAGCAAATTGATGACAATAAAAAAAATGTGATCAAGACTTGATGTAATTTGCATCTTACAAAGACAGGTATCTATTAGCTGATGTAGTTTACACTGTCTAAAATGATTAAGACGTCACTATAAATGCAATTGTTTTAGAAAGGCTACTCTGTCTGTGCTGTTGATGCAGCTGATTCTATTACGAAGCCGAGAAGATAAAGCTGTTTATGCAGACGAGTGACTAAGACAGAGTTATGTGGCAGTCAACCAGATTGTCTTAGCCGGTATCTAACTTTTTTTTGTTTTACCGTACAAGCAGACTGGTGAGTAATGACGGGCTAATAATTCTTCTGTAGGATCCTATAACTGCCATGCTTTCAAACAGCTGATTCAACAGCTGAACTGCTGTAAATATGACACCGACATTCTGGTCTGTCAGATTGCAGCTAGTTTGTGTTATATGAATATCATATCTGTGCCCAGGCCCAGTTTATACTCAAACACAATTTTATACAGTATATATATATTATATTTTTTGGCTGGAAAAATTATACAGTTCCCTGTATGGGTGTATTATTGATATCTTGTACTCTATTGTATTGATCGCCTTAACAGTGTTACATTACATGTGCAGTATTATGACATCAAAGTATTCACTATTGTTGTTTCACAGGATCTGAAGAAACAGATGGAGAAGAGCTGGAAGGAGTATGACATAAAAATGTAATTTACTGCCCTCTTCATACACACATCCACACTGATTCTTTATTTTTGTGTACACCTGGTGCTGCTATGTCGCCTTAAAAGTAGTCCTACAACATAGCTACTGCAGTCTACAAGAACAGTACACCTATCATTTGTGTTCAAGCTGACTCTTTATGAGGTAATAATTAAACAGCTACTGCCGGGACAGACCATTTACATACAAAGTAAAAACAGGTTTAAACTGTGTCACTGGATTTGTACTTTATATTCACTGTGAAATCTCAACAAGTATTAGATGTTTTGTGTAGCTGTGGTTTATCAAACTCAGCAGCAACAAGGAAACACATTCACACATATTCACTCATCCTTACAGTTATTGTAAAATGAAACTACATTTGCATTTCTATAACACTACATGAGGAAATGTGTAATTTGGGCAGATGTACTGTAACAAATGGTAGAACTAGATTCTTGTTTACCTGGGTGTCACATTACTGCTGAGCTGAGCCAGAGTCTATAAAAGATATGTCTATTCAAGAGTTATCCAACCTGAGAATGAAGACTCTTTGTATCTATTCCAGGAGCAGACAGACTCCAGATGTTCCTGGTGTCAGTGGGGGTTTTGACCAGTGGAACAGGGGCTATGGGTTGTTACTTTTTCTATATATGGCTGCGCTTTGTGAAATTTCAGTGTAGATGATGTTGAGCCTCAAGATTTGTTCTGTTCACATGAAAGTAAAACTGAAGCGTGAGATACATGTTATTGCCTGAGGAGAATTCTGTCTCACATTTACAGCCTCTTTTTTAGGGTTACAGATGTAGTAGACTGCAGTTAGAGAAGCAGCAGATTAAATTCTCTCTGGTCAATCTCCATTACACCGCTGTGAAATAGAACTAAAGATGTTGCACTCTTAACTCATGACTTGATGTTGCTCCCATGGTGGTTAAATGGTTTATTTATTATGTTCTTAGGAGAATTTATGTCTTCCTTATTGTCCTTAATCCAACCCTCTTTTTCTCTTACTGAGATGAAACTAGTCGAGTTAAATGGTGGAAGGAAACAACTTGGAATGCTCCAAAAGTTAATCATTACAGGAGCAGAACTGATTGGACAGATGCTGAGTTTGTGACACACAATGTTACCATGTGTATGAATAACTTTTTTATGTTTTTCCCCCCTCTGACTTTCCATCACCCCATCAGAGGAAAGCTGGAGAAGGAGAGAAAAGAGAAGAGCAGGCAGCTGGGCCTGATCAGGACGGAGGGATCAGATGGCTCAGAAGACATGGAGAGAGAGAGACGGTCTTTTCAGCTGCAGATGTGTGAGGTGAGGACACTGTGCCAGTCCAAACACCAGATACAGACACCTATCACATACCTGAGGTGGGCTTGATTTTGCTCACATGGGTGGTCTGCCATGTGGATTCCATATTCCATCCAGGGGCAACTGCACAATCCTGCTGTGAAGCCTTTTGTGTCTTTCCAGATATTTCTATAAAAAAGAAATGTTGCTTTAGAAAAGACACAACAGTTTTATGAGTTGAGTCTTGCAATTGTGCAGTACAGTAAAGTCATAAACATTAAGTGGAGCAGTTCAAAGGCAGATAAAGCTGCTTTATGGCCCATAACTGAAAGCCAAACTGGCTGGAATTATTATGGAATTGTACTGACAGTGCAGTTTCATACAGGTGGTGAAGTCTCAGTGGCCAGTGCACATGGAGGCTGGTGAAAAAACCCTGAGAAAGACAAAGTCTAACACTGACTGACACCAGCTGTTGGGATTGAGGGTGAGGGGAGTTTAAATTCCCTTTGCTTCAAGTCTTTCCACTCCACTGTCTCCCTGTTTGTTTCCGTTTCACTCTACATATAAAAAAGTGCTTAATTTAAATGAATTTTGTTTTCACAAATGCAATATAGTTCTGGAAGAATCTTGATTATATTATTTCACATAGATACAATAACAATAAATGTACATTTGCATAAATCATAAACCTTGTCATCATCCATGTTACTCTTAAGGAATATTTAGGACAGACTTGTGGATTTTACTTCCGATTTATCATCAGTCACTGTGAACAATTTGTTTAGTGTAATTAATCAACTGAATTAACCTATGTAATATTTAAAAACTATTGACTAGCTTTTAACTTTATTTTGTTCTTTTAGTATCTTTTAAAGATCCAGGAGCTGAAGGTACGCCAGGGCCCTGACCTTCTCCAGAGTCTTATTAAATATTTCCAGGTGCAGCACAGGTTGGTCTCAATGCTTTTTTTGTTCCGATTTATTCTGGATGTGGAAAATGTAAATTATTTTCTCTGCTCCTTCAATTTGGATTTGATTTCCACCTTAGGGTTTAGTCTGGGCTTTTGTATTATCATTGAGGTTCTTGGGGTTTTGGTTCCTTTTACAAGCTATTATTACTGCTGTTAACCATTAAGCCTTTTAGTCATACTGGTGGGTTTACGTAAAAAAAAAAAAAGTTGCTTATACAGCTCCAGTGTATCAAGTTTTGAGTAGTGCAAAGAAGGATGTTTGGAATTAAGTGCAATTGTGACTCAGCACGTTTTTTTGTTTTTCCTTCTCTTCTCAGTTTTTTTCAAGATGGTCTTAAAGCTGCCGAGAATCTTGCGCCCTTTATCCAGAAACTCGCTGCCTCAGTGCATACGGTAATCACAGATCACTATGACTGTTAAATCTGTTTGTCTGCATTACTTCAGCTCACGTTTATAGGGGTAGAACATTTAGACTCTATCATAGTTTCTAACCCACCCACATAGTTTTCTTGTGTGTCAGCCATTATCTCTGACAACAGCCAAATCTGTGTCTTAGGAGACGTTAAACACTAAAACTCACGCTTTAAATCACATGGTGTTTTAGTACAACCTGTAGCAGTATCAGCTCCCCAGCCCCCCGAACCCTTCCCCAGCTGAACCCACAAGCAGAGACTGTAATTGGAGTCTATTCCCAGAAATGTTTTCCGTACTGTTTCTAAAAGGGAAACATAAAGCATCTGTCATTTTCATTCCTCCCTTACTGCACACCTTTTTCTCCAACCACTCTGACTGGTTTCCAAACAGCACATCATCAGAGTTTTTTTCTATTTTTTATAAGTGTACTGAAAACAACAAGACTGCAACTGCGGCAGTGGAACGTTAGAGGTTTTTCTGGTTCTCCATGGGCAGAGAACACAGACCCGCTCAGACATGCCAGACCTCAGTCTCGGCAACGATGTTTAAACAGAATTTCTGTCATGTTTCCCTGGAAAAATGCTGAAATATTAGAGTTGAACAAAGTTTAGCTGGACACCCTAATGTCCTCACTGATTATTTATTTAAAAGGCACACTTTAGAGGGCTTCACACAACGACCTGATTAGAAATACAGTATTCAAATATATTCATGTTACCAAGCACCTAATGGTTTGTTAACATTATCAAAAAATAAGGGATTAGCAGTTTGCTAATTTGTTGTAAGCTAACTGCTAGGTAATATTATTATTAGATTAGGGGATAAAGGATGTGGCTGTTAGTTGACAATATGCTGAAATATAATTTTTTAATGTGTGTGTATTGTGTTTTAAAGGTGCGCATGGACGAGGATGAAGAAGTGAAAAAACTTACACAGTTGAGGGACTCTCTCAGATTACTTCTACAAGTGGAGGGAAAAGAGGTAAAAAAATAACTAACAAAATACCACATTTATTTGTATTAATCAAAACTCAGATAACTATATGCTCAAAACAGCTACATCATTTTAAAAGTATTAGGTTTATAGTTTGAAATTTTCAAACATATCTGGCTTTATGCCTTATTTGAGATGTTTTAAGTGATCTTTGTGTTCGCTTATTTTTTGCTATTTTTCTGCCAACTTTAATTTAAGCTTTTTTTGGACCAACTACTGATGTGGCAGCAGATAATTCTTTTAAAATCTTTTAAAAACCTAGTGACAAAAAGTGACTTTTAGACTAAGACCTTTTGGCTTTAAAACATATGAATGTGAACCCTGTGTAACCAAATTGTTGTTTGTATCACAGGAATACCTAAACAGGAAAAACTCAGGAAGTGGTTACAATATCCACCAACCACAGGGCAACAAAAAGTATGGTACAGAGAAATCAGGTTTTCTGCTCAAGAAGAGTGACGGGTGCGTAAAAAACAAAAACTACTGTTGTTTCTTGTTTGTACACTTTCTTGTATGAGTTTTGCATGATAATAAAAAAAAAAAAAATCAAAGATCTAATGCTAGCAGGATTTGAATTGGCCATCTAGCTTGTGTGTGCTAAGATTTCTGCTGATTTCACACTTACAGAAATCACAAGTTAAGTGTCAAACATTCTATCACTGCTGACTGCAATAGTGATTCAGTTAGCAAACCAGAAACTGAAGAGTGATACTGTATGGAGACTCAGACCCTGTTCTCTACAGCTGGTCTTCATTATTCTGAGATGAAAATTCAAGACAGGGCCCCTCCTGTGGAACTCTCTGGCACAGAAGTGAACTGAGCAGATTTGCGTCACTAACACACATAAGCTCACATTCACACACACACACATACACAGGCAGTGCTAGATTACTGTGAGATAAGGATGTGGTTCAACAGGGCCAATGCATGACAGGGTGAAAATAAACTTTCCTGAGGGCATGGACATACAACAGAAGGAGCTTCTCAGGAGTTTAACCTGATTCAGTCATGATAATGAAAACAACTGTGAACAGGAGAAAAGTGTTCCTTTTCTTGTAAATATTCATTACCAGTAGGAGGTATAGAAAACCCTCATCTGTGATTTGTGTTTTAGTATTAGGAAGGTATGGCAGAAGAGAAAGTGTGGAGTCAAATTTGGATGCCTGACGATCTCCCACAGCACGGTGAGGCCATACCAGTTCATCTGTCTTTTAAATAGCCTCCATTTTCCCCCTCATAATCCAGTGCACAATCACTTTAACACATGGACCTCTGTGCCTTCAGATCAATCGACCACCAGCTAAGTTAAACCTTCTGACCTGTCAGGTTCGACCAAACCCTGAGGACAGGAGGACATTTGACCTGGTCACTCGTAAGTTCTTTGACCTTTGCACGTTTTTACCTACATCTTTTATCATCATTGCATTTTCATCTGCAATGCAGCTGTTTGGGTACCTCTCTGTAGTCCCTATGTGAACAGAAATCAATCAATCACAAACACACTTCTTCTGGATAAATGCCAAAGACTGTGTTTAATCTACAATAAAAGGCCCGGAACAGATGACTGCATGGTTGAGTGCTGAGTCCCATGTGTTGCTGCAAATGTATTTTAACCTGTCTACACTTCAGCAGTTCATAGTGTTAATACCAAGCTAACGAAAAAATTGAATTTCTCTCTGTGTGCAGATAACCGAACGTATCGTTTCCAGGCTGAAGATGAACAAGAGTGCATAATGTAAGCATCATCTCCGCATTTCTTTCCAAACTCACACATTGGGCAATAGCTCAGAAAAGAAAGAGGGTTTCCTGAATAATTTTGACCTTTCTAATGGGTTTGTAAAATTATTTTCTGAATGCCATGCAAATGACATGAGCTTTCTTAAGTTACCTAAATCTTTTCCCTTCTAAAAATACATTTTTCTTAGAGGCAAATAATTTTGTGCTTAACATCTCAGGTTTCTCTTACACAGTATGCTACACTATTTGAACAAGTTGTAACACATTAAAAGCTTTCATTTGATCTCAGGCAAGTGCTAGATTCAAGCTAAGATTTATTAAAGGAAGGAGTTAAAGATTGTACGGATTATTTGGAAATACAGTATCATGCATCTTGTATACGCAGCAATAAAAGTAGATCAGACAAAGTACAAAAAGGAGAGGGAGAGAGACACGATGACTGCAGAAAAGTTTTCCTCTAGGAGGACCCCAGCCCAGCTGCTGATGGGTGGGTCTTCTCTTTGTTGCCACAGACAGAAAATAAGAGAACGTCTTGTGTTGTGATGTGGGTTTTCAGATGGATCTTTGTGTCTCCTGCCCTTCCCTGGTGTTTGGGCCTCCTGGTAGATGCTTTGATGTAATGTACTATTTGAGTTTAGGGACAGAAAGATGGATTGGACTGAGTTTTAAAAACAAGAACCGGAGAATATTAAACAAAGATGTTTTTTTTAAATAGTCCTGATGATTTATGTCCTTAAGGAAAAGGCCAAAGTGATCGCTTCATTTGTGTCTGTTCTCCAGTTGGGTGTCAGTCCTGCAGAACAGTAAGGAGGACGCCCTGAACACAGCACTGGGAGGAGATCAGCTCCACCCAGATAGTGGTCTCCAAGAACTTTCCAGAACAATCATTGCCGAACTTCGACACATGCCTGGGAATGAGGCCTGTGCAGATTGTGGAGCTCCAGGTCAGAAATGTTCTGCTGTCTTGTAACAGACAAGCACTGCATGCTTTCAGATTGAAATGTATAATGTGACAAAATTTACTGTTAATTTACTGCTTTATTTTAGGAAATTTTATTTTGCTCTCGTGTATCTTAGATCCGACGTGGCTGTCCACAAATCTTGGAATTCTGACGTGCATTGAGTGTTCTGGGATCCACAGAGAACTTGGTGTCCACTATTCCAGGATCCAGTCTCTTACCCTGGACTTACTGAGCACTTCTGAACTTCTGGTACAGAACTAACACATGGAAAAACACACAAACAATCAGATGCTGTGGCCAAACGGGCCCTTAATTACAGGCATCATGGAACAATCTGTCTTTCATTGACATTCCTTTCTTCCAAATTGTCTTTGTTTGCAATGTGTTGTACTCTAGCTGGCCGTCAGTATTGGCAACACCAGATTTAATGACATCATGGAGGCGGGGCTTCCAAATGATGCCATCAAACCACTGCCACAAAGTGACATGTTAGTATCTGATTTCTTGTTTTCAAACCAGAAATGTTCTTGAAAAAAAACAAATTATAAACTTCTAGTTTTTGAT